CCCAGCCCAGCAGGACCTGCAGGGGACGAGCCAGCAGAGAGCCCGTCGGAGACCCCAGGCCCCAGCCCAGCAGGACCTGCAGGGGACGAGCCAGCTGAGAGCCCATCGGAGACCCCAGGCCCCAGCCCGGCAGGACCTGCAGGGGACGAGCCAGCCAAGGCAGGGGAGGCAGTGGAGGTGCAGGACACAGAGGCGAAGCCTTCTGCCAAATCTGGGAAGCCTTAAGGAAAGGATTCCCCGATGGCGTGTTGGCTCTCCTGGCCCTGCTGCAGGGGCTGGGGCCTCCGGAGCTGCTGCGGGCTCCCCTCAGGCTCTGCTCCGTGACCCATGACCTGCAGTGCTGGCCTCCCGTGGTGGCCACTGTAGCGGCCACCGGAAAGTGCGAGGCCCTCAGGGAAGGCCAAGGCCTGAAGAAGCCTCCTGGCCTGGCTGTGTCTTCCCCACCCAGCTCTCTCCCGCACCCCTGTCTTTGTAAATTGACCTTTCTCGGGTGGAGGGGGTGGGGGGCAGGGCTGCTTTTCTTAGTCTGGTGCCAAGCAAGGCCTTTTCTGAATAAACTCGTTTGACTTTGAGTCTTTGGTACGGACTGGGGTCCTGTTGGGTGGCTGGTAGGGCTGGTGTCACAGCTGCTGTCCCTCCAGGCTCCGGTGGCCTGGCCCAGCTACTGCCTCGCATTGCTCCACCAGGTGCCCGTGGGGGCAGAGTGGTGGCACAGCCCTCCCCACACACCCACTTGGCCACAGTCCCCAGGTGTGCACAGGTGGGCAGGCTGCAGCCTCTCAGAGCCTTTGAAGGTCGGACCAAGGTCCCTCGGCAGGCTTTGCCACCTGTTGAAGATGAGTCTGGGGATTCCCCTGGGGTTGGCTGGGGGCAGTGCTTGTGCATGGTGGGGGTATAGACGAGGCCTTTCTGCCTGCTGTGGCAGGCATCTAGGATGCGATGCTGTGCCTCGGGCAGGCTTGGCAGTACTCTCTGTCGGGCTCCTTGGCTCCCTCAGGTCTGGTGAAGCCAGGTGTGCCCCCCGGGCAGCCCCTCCCTGCAGTCTGGTCTTGTCACCCTGGGGCAGGACCCCCACCCTTCCCGGTTCACCTACATTTCTACATCAGCGGGGTAAGGAGCTTTTGTGGGGCCTCCGAGGAGGGGCCGGACACTTGTCTTTGCTCAGTGAAGGACAAGGCAGACCCAGGGCACCCGTGGGTGGGAGGATTAAAGCTGTAGACCCTGGTACCACTTCAGGGAAAATGCCCAGGTCCCATCTGGTGGCACCGGATACACAAGCCAGCAGTCACTGGGAGGAGACACCCCAGGTTCAATAATCCCCCAGAGCTGGGTAGGGAAGCTGTGGGACTCCTGGTGCCTCAACTCACGTGTGGCTCAGTGAGGGGATTCCTGCCATGGAGGGAAACCGAGGCAGAGAGGGGGACATAGGGCTAGAAATGCAGTCACTGGGGCAGCACCCAGCAGATCCAGCGTCCCTGGTTCAGGCCGTTGTGGGGCTGGAGTCGGTGGAAATCAGCACCTGAAGTGAGGAGCCCCTGTTGGAGCAGCCCTGCGGGCCGGTGCCTGGTGGTGGGCGCCTGGGGACAGCAGGCAGTCCTGGCCAGCCAACCCGGGCTTCAGGGAGAGTGATGACCCACAACGGGCGGGCAGCAGGAGGCTCTGCGCCACTCAAAGGTGAGCCGGGGGAGGCTGAGCTCTGGCAGCGTCCACCCTCTGCCTAGGATCTGCCTGGAGCTGGGGGTGGTTTTTTGAGGGACTTGAAGGTGGTTCAGGGGGACATCAAGTAGGTGTCCCAGGTGTGAGGCGGCTCCCCTGGCCTGAGGTGAAGGCCAGCTGTTTTGTCTCATTTGGATCAGATAGCAATTCTTGCTGACCGCATGCTGGGCATCGTGGGGATAGGCAGAGTGGGGTGTGGGGCCAGGGACCAGGGGAGAGTCACTGAGGAGGGGGCTGGCCACAGGGTCATCTTGCCAGGTGGAACTGGTAGGGAGGACTCCTGTCCCCCAGACCCTGGGCTTGGGGTGGGGCTGCTGCTAGGAGACCCTGAGCCCCCCTGCTGTCTGGGCTGACCTGCTCCACCCACCCCTCCCCCTTGTCAAAAGTCCTCTGTTAGGAAGCTCTGTGCCAGGACGACTTGGACTCCTCAGGAGGGTGAACCTTTCCAGCTCCTCCTGCCTCGCCTGATGGAATTCACACCCCCCCGCCCAAGTCACCGCTCTCCCCCAGCAGTGAAGGGAGACTCTCCCTCCACTCACTTCACCTCGGGAGAGATTAGAGCGACACTTTATGATTTTGAGACAGGGTCTCACTGTCTTGCCCAGGCAGGAGTGCAGTGGCGCCATCTTGGCTCACTGCAGCCCCGACCTTACGGGCTCAAGCGATCCTCTTGCCTCAGCCTCCTGTGTAGCTGGGCCTACAGGTGAGCACCACCATGCCCAGCCGATGTTTTAATTTTTGGTAGAGATGAGGCCTCCCTCTGTCACCCAGGCTGACTGCGTCCGTCGGGAGTGCCGCACTCCTGTTGAGCCGTTTTGCGCCCACTCCCCTCTCATCCCCTCCTGCCCTTGCTAACTCACAGCATGGCAACAGTCATGAGTCCCCACCTGCCCAACGGAAGCTCCTGCAGCCTCCTACAACCCCCAGGGCAGGCCTTTCTCGGGGAATTCTCAAGACTCCTGGGGGAGGGACTGCCATTCTGCGCCTTCATTGACCCTACAGGCAACTGGAGCATTTGAGTCCCCTAGGGCAGCGACTGCCCTGGCAGCCTGAGACAGACCTTGGCCGGGCTTGGCGACCCCCGAGCTTGTGGGAGATGGACATGGCCAGCACCGCCTTCAGGTTCCTGCTCAGGACACAGTTCCTTCAGGCCGGGGATCTGGGGGGCATCCTTCCCCTGGGCCAGGGTCATCGTTTTGCGCTCGCTCCCGGGAGTCTGGGGTTGGAGTCTTGTCTTAGCCAGTGGCAGCTGACGTGGCCTGACCACCCGGCCTGTCCAGGTCCACGGGTGACGGGCTGCGGTGGGGGTGCTCCCAGCCCAGCAGGCAGCCCTGGACAGCGACCCCAGAGCAGGAACCAGGGCTGCAGTGGGCACTGACCCGGCCCTGGTACCGAGGATTCACCCTCCCCCGGGTCTTCCTGGGCCTTGGGCCGCCTGGGTCCGCTCCAGCGCCTGGGGAGGGGTCTGCGGCCTCGGAAACTCGCGGGTCCCCCCTGCCCCTTCCTGAAGGGAGCCCTTCAGCGCCGCAGGCTTCCTCCCCCACACTTGGGTTGAAGAGCAAGGGGAGAAAAGAGCGTCTTTCTCTCTTGCTCAAAGCTGCGTGTGTGCAACGCGCCAGTCCCAGGATAATTTTAACTCGCGGCCGGAGAGAACGCGCCGCCGCCCGGCGTCTTTTTTTTTTTTCACCCTGGCGGGCTGGGCTGCGGCGCGGGGCGGGTAGAAGCCCCCCCGCCAGGTGGGCCCGGCTGAATGGGGGGCTTGTGCAGGCGGGGGCGGGGAAGGGGAAGGGGAAGGGGCCGCCCACCTCGCGCCCCGCCCGCCCGCCCGCTGCCAGCCCCGACGCCGCCGCAGTTCAGACTCCGCGCAGCCATGGCCCGGCCGCCCGCGCTCGCCCCGCTGCTGCTCCTGCTCCTGCTCGGGGAGCTCCTGGCGGCCGCCGGGGCGCAGGTGAGCGCGAGCTCCGGGCTCTGACGCTGGACGTGGAGCCGCGCGGCCCAGGGACGGCCCCAGCCCCGAACCCGCCACTCCGGGGTGCCCGGCGCAGCCTCGACGCCCCCAGCCCGTGTCGCCGTCGGGGCGCGGAGTCGCCAGAGCCTCGGGATGAGCCTCGACCGACCGCGTCCGCGATGGGTCCTCGCTGGCCCTGGTCGGCCGGCGCCGCCGCCTCTGCTGGGAGCACAAGGAGGCCTTTGTTCCCGCGGCCCGAGGGAGGCGGGGGACACACTGCCCGGGGGTGCCTGGCTCCGCCCGAGGCTTTGGGGCTCACGGAGGAGAGCAGGCCCCGGAGCCGCTGGGGACCCGGGAGGAGGGAACGCCGGGTCAGGCCCACCGAGGCACCTGCGCTCCTTAATGAGTTTTCTCCGTTTCAGAAAGTGGGACTCCCAGGCCCTCCAGGCCCCCCAGGGCTGCCAGGGAAGCCCGGCCAGGACGGCATTGACGTGAGTTTGGGGGTGGGGAGGGCCCCGAGCGCTCTGGGGTTCTGACTCTGGCCTCCCCACCTCCCTGAGCTCCCCAGCCTGATGGAGAGAAAACCAGGCCCCACCTCCCAGAGCCAGGGTGACATCAGGGGGCAGCCAGAGCCTTCACGGGATGGAGGTGGCCCTGCGGGGATTGCTGGTGGGTAGGGGTGGAGGGTGTCACGTGGTGGCCCCCGACCCAGAATGCCGGCACTGAGCTGTGTGGCTCTGGGTGCCCTGAGGGGCCTGGGCCCCTGTGTTCTGGGTTCTGGCCCCTGGGGCTGAAGTGGGGAGGGGCACGTCCCTCGGGTGGATGGGGGCCGGGGGTCTTATTGGAGGTTGCTGGGCTCTGGAGCCAGCCATGGAGGGGGCCCAGGGGCCAACTCGGTCCCAGAGATGATGTCCCTCACGGGTATCTCAGGCCTGGTGTGCACCAAGCAGCAGGAGGGGCAGCTGAAATTCTACAGCTGTGTGTCTCTCGGAGGGACCGTCTGGGGTGAACCTCCCCATGTGACCAGCACCGGGGCGGGGGTCCCCTCAGGGCCTGTGCTCGCTGTGTGGTTCCTCATGGAGGGCTGTGGAGGGCTGCACCAAGAGCCCCCCGTGACCCACCCTCTGCCCCCCACCCAGCTCGGCCTCAATGGCCACAGCCTCCTTCCCCGGTCACAGGGCTGTGCTCAGGACAGGCATGTGGACCTGAACCCCCATGGCCCACGGCCCTGGCCTCCCTAGGCTCCTCCTGGGCCAGATACCTGGACCCCAGGGCTCCCACCTGAAGCCTGGTCTTGACATCTCAGTTAAAGACCCAGTGGTCGTCAACAGGGTGGGGAGCTGGGGGATCTTCCTGGAGACTGTGGGGAAGCTGCCCTTAGCAGCAGATGGAACAGAGAGGCCTCCCAGCCCCCAGGCCTTCTTCCTAAAGCCCCAGGCCATGGAGGGAGGGGGTTACTGATGCATCCCCAGGCCATGGAGGGAGGGGATTACTGATGCATCCCCAGGCCATGGAGGGAGGGGGTTACTGATGCATTCCCAGGCCATGGAGGGAGGGGGTTACTGATGCATTCCCAGGCCATGGAGGGAGGGGCATCCCCACGCCATGGAGGGAGGGGATTACTGATGCATTCCCAGGCCATGGAGGGAGGGGATTACTGATGCGTTCCCATCACTCCTGGGAGTTGCGTCCCCACGCCTGCAAAGTGGTTCCCAAATGCCCTGTGGCTGCAAGCGCTGAGCGCCTCTCTCCAGGTCACCCCTTTGCCTACTGCTGCCCCACACACGGGAGGGTGCCCCCTGGGTATGGATCGGAGGCTCAGGGACGCCTTTTATCTCCTTGAGCTGGGCCTCCAGGGCTGAATTGGAGGCCAGTGCTGCTCTTTTCCCTGAGGCGGGGTTCTTGGGGGACCTCTGATTTTCAGGGTTACATGTGGGTATCTTTCCTCACAGGGCGAAACTGGACCTCCAGGTCTGCCTGGGCCCCCGGTGAGTGTCCCTGGCTGGGGAGACAACCTTTTTCTAGTCTGGAGAGAAAGAGGGGACTCAGAACAGAGGGGTCATTGATGTCCTGTCGCATCCTGCCGGAGCCCGGGTTGCCTAAGGGGAGGCCTCAGAGGGCCCAGAGCAGGCCCAGAGCCAGGGGGGTGGGAGGGGAGTGTGTGGGCTCAGCCTCTGCATGTTCTGGGCAGGGCCTGACTTTGAGCTTTCTTTGGACCAGTGCCAGGCAGGCCAGGGCCGGGGCTGGTACAGCCCTTCAGGTGCCCCAGGCCCAAGGTCGCACGGAGCCCTCCCACCTTCTCCAGCCCCAGAGATTGAGGGTCCTGGGGCTCAGAGTCCTGTCTGGCCCACTGGGGGTCCAACAGAGATGCCTGCTGGCCCTTAGCCAGGGAGGCTGAGGTGACCAGATGAAGATCTTACAGATGCCACTGAGGGATGAGGCAGGCAGCCTTCCTGGGCCAGCAAGGTGTGGGCAAGCAGGACACGCGTGCCCCAGCTGAGCTGGGTCTGCCAGACGGCAGGGAGGACCCAGGTGGGGGGGAATTGGAAAGCATTTTGCTTCCTTGCTGAAGGCCTGGGCTCGGAGCCAGACCCCGCCCTCACATCTCTGCCCTTTCCTCCTGCACAGGGACCAAAGGGGGCCCCAGGAAAGCCGGGGAAATCAGGAGAGGCCGGGCTGCCAGGACTGCCGGGTGTGGACGTGAGTGCGCCTGCCCCTCCCCCAATGCCCCGCTCCCCGCTCCAAGGCTCTGGAGGAGTCCAGCCTTAATTGCTGTTGTCCAGCTGGGCTTGCTCAGGCGGGAAGCCCGGTCCTGAGAGAAGTCTCCAGAAGCCCCCAACAGGGGTCCTTTGGCCTTCGTCCCAGACGCCACTAGCATCTGGCAGAGGACAGAGCCAGCCCAGTGGAGTCGGAAGTCCCGCCAGCCTTCTCTTGTCCAGGAACGAGTGCCCATTGTCAGGCCCCTCTGCTCACTGCTGCCCGGGCCCCTGTGAGCCCCAGGCTGGCCTCGCTCAGTCGTCATGGGCTCCAGGCCTGGCCCCAGGGCCACTGGAGCTTTATTCGGAAAGCCAGGCCTGAGAAGTGAGCTGTCCAGTCCTACTGGGTTGGTCCCCGAGGCCTGACTACAGCAGGGGCCTCCGTTGCTGGCTTCCTGCTGGCTGCCCCCCTCCTCCCAGGCCCTCTGGGCACAGCAGGTAGACAATGGACAGGGCCAAGAGAGGAGGCTGCCAACCTAAGGGTCTTCTGTGCCTCTCTGGACTCACCAAGGGAAGGGTCCATGCTTCCATTTTTGCCTGGGAGTGGCATGTGCTTCCCATGTGGCCCCTCAAACTCACCCTCTGCCTCTTTCCCCAGGGTCTGACTGGGCGAGATGGACCCCCTGGACCCAAGGGTGCCCCTGGGGAACGGGTAAGTGCCTGCGCCAAACCCAGTGGCTTCAGTTCAGAAGTGAAGTCCCCCGGCCACCTCTGGCTGTTCTGTGTCCACAAGGCCAAGGAGCTGGTAGTTCCAAGGACAGCTGCCCTGCCCGTGCCTGGGGTGGAGGGGCAGAAGAGCAGGGTGCCACGTGGCCAGTCCCCTGTGCCTGCCTCCCTGCCCCACCCCCACATATGGTCAGAGTTGTCCTGGTATCCAGACCATGGCAGGGAGAAGAGGGATGGTTTGGGGGAACCCATCCCAGGTGCCCCCTCAGAATGTCCCTGCAGCCCCCAGGGCCCTGGGCGGACCACCACCAGGCGGACCACCACCAGGGACCCCGGGCACGCAGCCTGCAGAGTCCCCTGTGCCTGCCTGCTGGACACTGAATCCTTTACCCTAACTGAGCGGCGCCACCGCCCAAGGGTGCCTTTCTCCCCTCGTGGCTTCTGAGTACAAAACCGAAACCAGCGTTCTCTCTTCGGCCCTCATAAGACGTGGCAGTCAGCCACCCGGGTGCCACCGACCCCAGACTCAAAGCATCACAGAGGGCAGGAAGGCTGGGCTGGGGACACAAGGACACAGCCCTGTCCGTGGGCCCCTTGGGAGCTCGTCAGGCATGAGGCGGATTCTGAGCTGAAAACAGGAGGGAAACAGTAGCTGCTGGCAGCCGAGTCTGTGGTGCCCGGGGGTGTGGGGTGGTGCCGGGGGTGTGGG